ATACAGTGCTAGAATGCATAACTGAACTATAGCACTGTACTAGGCAGTTTAATCAGCAAGAAACTCAGTACTGTATAAATAAGCAAAATTGTCCAAAAGAGACATTGAGGATCTATAAACAAAATGCACGGAACTGTACACCAAACAAAGATGGCTCAGAAGTCCACATGGTGGGTGTGAAGTCTGAAGAGCACATCTTAATAGGAAGTTGAAACGGTCGTTAAGCAGGTGGGTCGTTAAACGAGGCATCTCTATATTGGCATTAGTATGGCGTCACCTATGAGGAGTGAGTGGAGCCAAAGTAGAAAAACGTGGAAGAATTTGGCTGATATGACGGTGTAAGAGTGAGGAAGATCCTTCTGTATTTCTTGTGTCTGATTCACACAGAGAAGGAGCATCTCTGGAGCATAAGAATAGAACAAGTAATGCAACAACAGTGACAACCATAGGCTATATTTTGTCTCAACCTCCCCGGCATGATCTGTGATCTTTCAGGCCACCACTTGACATTTTAGAAATCCCAGAACTTAGCAGATTTCAATTTGCCTCCTCTTCTGACTCCATGAGATTCAAGATCTTCCTGGGGTCCTCACTCCCGTGTTATACCTAGTACGGTACTGGGATACACAGATGACTGCACAGAAGACAGCATAGTCACGACCAGCTGGGAACTCCTTCCAGCAACCATATTGTGAATACCACCTCTAGGTTGCCTGGGCCATAATGAGATGTCCAGGGTGCTTCCCAGCTCGCAAGTCTGGGCACCAGATACTTTTTTTTTTTTCTACCAGGGATTGAACTTGGGTCTTTGTGCTTGTGAGACAGGCGGCAACACCACTGAGCTAAATTCCCCGGCCCTGGGTACCAGATAACTTACAAGGGAATGCAGCAATTCGCCCAGTATAATTCATGAGAGATGGCACATGACCAGTGAGAGGGATTAGGTGAACCTGGGGCCCATGGTGTGTCTACATGGTAAAGAGCTGTGGACGTGGATATAGAAAGTCATTCTCTCAGTGGGCCCTTGCAAGTATCTCCAATTTGCATGATGTCTGTAACAGCAATATTAGGGTCACAGTCTGGAAAGATGCCGGGTAAGTGAGCCTATCTGGGGAAACAACAAATACGATGCCTTAGAGACTATACCTTACTGTCCACCCAGCTTCAATGATGTCCACTGATGATTGATCATGGTCTCTTTCCTAAGACCCCTTTGGCCAAAGGTGGCCACGGCAGAGATGAAGATGAACCTCAAATAGCTAGAGTCCTGTGAGACTTGTGCAGTGAGTCAGAGGCTCTGGTCTGATGGAAGACATTTTCCAATCTGCTGTCTCTTTCACTGAATCAATTAGCCAAACGCACTGAGCTGGAACACAGCAAGACACATTTTCTCATGGGTATGGCATAAGTGCCTGAATTCACTTCACAGTTGATGCCATATCCCAATTGGCCAATGCTCCGGTTTAGATGAGTGTCCCCCAATATCCATGTGCCAAAGGAGTGGTCCTCAAGATGGTTCTATTGTAACGTTCTGTGGACTCCTAGGGATGAGGCCTAGTGAAAGGTCCTTTCCAACACAGGGGAAACCCCTTGAGGGGAATTGTGGAAATGGCCCATCCTCTTGCCCACTTTGTGGGTCATGATATGTAATCAGTTGCTCTGACACATGATGTGTCACGTGGGGCAGGGGCTCAAAACCCACGTGCTTACTCATCTTGGCCTTGAACCTCTAAGACAGTGATGATGAACCTTTTAGAGCTTTCGGTAATACAAAACGTCCACTGTGGCATGCGTGCCATTGGTTCATCACTACTGCTCTGAGCTATGAGCTAAATAATATATATTTTCTAATAGTTAATTGCCTTGGTGTTATGGTTTAGATCTGAAATGTTCCCCCAAAGTCTCATGAGTTTGGAAGGTTATTGGATCACGGGTGCTACATCATCAGGGGATTCATCAACTGATGAGTTCGATAGCTTAATATGCCGTTAGGAGGTGGGGCCTCCAAGAGCTGGGTCACTGGGCGCGTTCCCTGGAAGGGTGTGTTCTTGTCCCCAGCTCCCCCTTCCTCTCTCTGCTTCCCGCTGACGTGGAGGGAGTGGTTGTCCCCCTCCACGCCCCTCCACCGTGCCCTTTCTCCCTTGGAACCCACCAACCTTGGAAGGAAAGCACGGGAAACTGTGAGCCAAACAATCCTCTCTTTGAAATTCCATGTGTTGGGTGTCTTTTTACAGTAATTGGAAAACTGACTACTACACTGGGGCTCATGGAGTCGTGATGTGAAGCTCACTGATGCACGAACATGCGATCCAGCCCTGGATGCACCCCAGGACCTTGTCAGAGGAGTCGTGGTTCCATGAGTAGGAGAGAATCTGTACCCTACTGGTGGGTTTCCGTGGACTAATAACAGAATATGGGCAGGGTCCACAGCCGCCATGTGCCTATTCATCCTGAACTGTATCCGCATGAAGTCCTTGTCTTTCCCTCCTCCGTGCTCCTCCCCCTGCATCAAAAGAGAGGAAAATGAGACCGCAGGGAAGAGTACTGGGGAACGTAGGGAACACTCCTTTAATAGACGGCGCTGGAGTCTGCGACCCCAATCACCAACACAGGCCCCAGCGCGGGAGTGGCGACATTTGCGGGTGATGGTTAGGGTGAGGTTTGTGGTTTGTGTGGGCAAGCTCAAGTGTGTCTTCGTTACTCAGGTAATGAAGAGAAGGGAGCAAAAGGGAAATCAGAGGAAATATCATCCTCTAGTTCATCACCCTCTCATTCTCTTTGAACTAGAGCGTGGTATCACTGAAGTTCCCTGGGTTTCTTACCCCCACTGCGAAGAAACACTAATGTGAACCTCAGAAGGAGACTGGGAAGAACAGGGCAAGGGTGAGCAGGGCTCAAGAAGAAACAGCAGTCCTTGGGCGGCTTCTGTTCCATCTCGAGGTTCTGCCTCCTCCTATCTCCTGCTTAGCCCGGTCTTTCTGGCTCCAGGCTGAGAAATGTGCCGCTCAGCACTGGCAGATGTTACCCATGAGCAGATTTCACCCGGGAGAACTGGTTTAGTGAGTGGAGCCACTGTAGCTGAGCCTCCCAGGGCTGGGGGGCTGTGGGGACCAGGAAAGAAGTAGAGAAACAAGACCAGGGAGAGAGTGGAGATGCAGGGAGGGGCAGGCGCATGAGGGGCTATGCGGGTTCCTCAGTGGTCGTGGCGGTGGGAATAAAAGAGACAAGACTTTGGGCTTTGATCCGGGTTTTTTTTACAGGGTTGTGGGGAACAAACAATGGGGAGGGCTGCGTTCTTGTTGACATCCTAGGATCCTTGATGTGAGATCCTTGTGCTTCTGGTGTGCACTTAGCCTGTGAGTGGGGGGTTGAGGTGAGCAGGAAGCACGACCCACCCCCACTCCCGGGAGGCTCATGCAAATGTTCCCGCAGAAGGTGGAACAGCACACGTTGTTGGCTTGGCAGTCGCGGTGATCTTCACACTGGCGGTTGCACTGATGGAATTCGGGTGGCTTCTCACAGCGCTTGATTTCGGGGACTACTTGTGTTTCTGAAAAGGAGCAGGAGCAGGGTGAGTGGTAGTAGCTACTTAGAAAGCAGCCTTCCAAAGTTTGAAACTCCTCCCAGAGCCCAAGACCCACTTACACTTCCAGACTTTTCTGGGAACTTCCTTTGTGGTCCTCACTAAATCCTACGTTCCCCCTCTTACCTGCTCACGTCCCCTATGGACCTCAATGCCTGAGCTTCCTGGACCCTCTGTCCCTGGGAAGCATGGTCTTGCCAGAGACGAGAATGGACCTGAAATTCCTAGAGCCCCGTGAGGTCTCCCTAATCGCATCTGCACTGACTTGGAGAGCTCAAAGACGCCCGAGACATTTCCCCAACCCTCCTCACTCAAGAATTTCCAGGATCCAGAGAGAAAGAGAACCTTGCTTCTTGCTCGTTTTTCCTCTCTTCACCATCACTGTGTCCTGAATCCCAGACCCTTCCATAGTTTCCCTTCTCCCAGCAATCCCCTGCTGCCTCACGTGGTCCCCCTGTCTTGGCTTTGTACACCCACAGTGTCCTTTCTTTTACACCTGTGCCCACTTCATCACCTACGGCCATCCCGTAAACGTCTCTGGACATTTACACATCACAGTGTGCTTGAGTCCGAGAATAACTGTCTGATTTCCATTAGATTCTCAGCCTTAGTGCACCTTTCACCACAGCACGACCCATTTCTTTCTGGATTATTGGAATGGAAGGAAAAAAGTGTGAGTCCTTCTCTGCCTCACTGACCTCCACAGGTAACGGAAGGTCGTGGGCTGGTACAACCCAGAGTCTACCAAGCTGTGGGCAGAGATGCGTGGGTAGAAAAGTACCCCGTCCCGTGTTCTCTCAGAGTGGGCACAGTCTCTCCTTCCCCCAGCCCGCACAGCAGCCCAGTCAGTCACCTACTCTGCGTCCTCTTCCAGTCACGTTCACGGTGGCCTCCCCGGGTCTGCACGAACAGCAGCTGCACACAGAGGAGCAGGGTGGACGCCAGGGCCTGGGGCGTCATAACTCTGACCAGAGCCACAAGCCGAAGTCTGGACAGGATGTCACAGACTTCCCACAGCGCCATGTGAGGAGGGAAGGCAAGAAAAGAAGTTCTCCTCCGCTCCTTGCTGCCTCTGCTGGCCAGACAGGGAGGCACAAGACTTTCCTCCCCTTGCCTGCCCCTGCCCTGCCCTTGGGAGGGAAGGGGCTCTGTGGGAATGAGACCCCCTCACACGACCAACCCTCTCCGTGCTAACAGAATGTCTCGTATGAAACACACAACTTATTTCTGTTCATAGCTACAAAATATTTTACAGAAGAAAGAAAAATATAACTTAAAAGATTATAATTTCACTACTTAAAGGTAACCCACGTTGAATTGTAGTTTCCCCATGTATTTCGTGGGAGCAATTCTTTGTTTTCTCAGATTTTTTATTGAACACCTGTGTTACTTGCTTCCACTCTCATTGAGTTGTGTAGCTATTTCATAAACTATGGTTTTCCACCATTGTGCAGCTACTGATTCATTATATTCTACAAAATCTTTTCTCACATATTATATTAAGACAGCCTTGATTTTTATAGGCTAAAGTCAGCGAGACAGACTTGGAGCATCTCTAATTCAAAAATCTGGAGTCCAAACTCTGAAACTTTTTGAGTGATGATATCATTCCACAAGGGCAAAATTTGCCACTTGATCTCGAGTGTGATCAGTTATGATCAATATGTAACTAGTAAGTGCCTAATAATATCGTGCAAGGTTACTTTGAGGATATTTGTAAAGCGTGTGTATGAGCCATAAATAGGTGTTGTGTTTACACTTTTATTCCTTCCCCAATACATACCACACAAACACACAAATACACACACAGACATGCACAGAACAGAGAGAGAGAGGCTGAGAGAGAGAGAGAGTAATTTGACTTTGAAACAAACTGTTCTTTTCTGTTGAGAGAGGCCGTCCTAATTTTTTGGAACCCTGGAGAACACTAGAGAATGAATGTGATGATACTTAGCAGGAATCTGCTCACATTTTCTGTGGAGAACCTAGTAGCATGTTTTATTCTCAGTTACATGTGCTATTTTTTTGTGGGTCGGCATCCAGAGATGAAACTCAGGTCCTTGTGCTTGCAAGGCAGCTGCCCTACCACTGAGCTAAGTCCCAGCCCTACATGTGCTTTTGGAATCCTACCTTCCATATCCACCAGCTCCATAAGGCTGAGAAAATCTAATGACCTATGCAACTCATTCAAACCTCTGTCTGAGCAATTTGACAGAACAGACTTTCTCGTGTTGCACTTCAGCTGTGAAGATGAGGTACATAATATATGCTAGGACCATGAGGGCACATCTTAGCACTCGGCATAATCCATTGGTTTTCGCCTGTATATAACTTCCCAGCCACGCACAGCAGCCCCATGCATCAGAAAATGTATGCCTCTTAGCTCCCTTTGGATGTGGTTTAAGACAAAGCCACGTGAAAAGGGATGATGGTAGAAAACCCTTTATGTCTGGGAGGCGGGAGGCGGCACACTTTTCTAAACTGCTCCACAGGCTGAAGTGGCGGAGGAGCCAGGACTAGAAATCAGAGTTCAAAACACAGCAGCCCAGACACTGGCCACGAGCGGGCTTTACTCTCTTGGAGACTGCAAAACTGGGGAAGTTGTTTCGGTTTTGTGTGATGAGGAAGTGAGTTTTGTATCTTGAGGCAGTGAGTTTTGTGTCAGGGGCCTGTTCTGAGCCCAGTGTGATTATGGGTCAATTACTCTAGCCCATCTTTCAGTTTAAATTTCTTTAGCCTATCAGGAGGCTCTACCCCTATCGCGTTCACGATCTTCTAGCTCCTCCCTCTCAGCTCCTTCTCCTCCTTCTCTTCCTTGGCATTTCCTTTATCCCAAGCTTTCTGGGAGATCTCTACAAGCTGTGTCCTCTGTCCAAAGTTTCTGGGTAAGATAGTTTTATTGTGACACATGACCTTCACGCTTTAACTTGAGCTCAAGTGTACGAGCTTCCCTAGCCATAAAGTATTTCTAGGCGATGCTGACGTTTCCGTGATTAACCACCTTCTCTTTAGAGGTCAGACCTCTTTCAAAATACTCGTGGAGGAAGCAGTCACTGAGTCGTGTGGGAACTCAGGGACAGGGTCTATGAGCACAGACACCTACAGCAAAACCTGCAGTTAGTAGAAACAAATGGGAAATAAATGTGTATATTATATCTGTGCATACACATATATGGGGGAGGGACTACTGAGACCTTCGGAGGGCATGAGAAGAGGGGCTAATTGGTGCACACAGCTAATATCAGAGAATGTGGGTGGGGAGGGATCTATCATGCTATAGTTTGGGTCTGAAATGGCCCCAAGGGTCCCTGTGTTAAATAAAGACTTGGTCTCGTGGTGCTACTGGGAAGTGGTGAAACTTTGGCAAGTGGGATCAAGTCAGAGATGTTTAGCTTATTGAGGGCAAGCTCTCAAAGAGGGTAGCAAGGCCCACTTCCTTCCTCTTTCTCTTTCTTCCATGTTGGTCCTGAGGTGAGTGGTTTTTTATTTGTTTATTTTTCTGCAAAATTGGGGGTTGATCCATGGGCCTCACGCACGCTAGGCAAGCCTTCTACCACTGAGCTATATTTCCAACCCTTTCAAAAAATTTTTTTGAGACAGACTTTCATTAAATTACCCAGGGGGGCCTAGAACTTGTGAGTAGCTGGGATTACAGGCACATACCCCTGCAGCTGGACAAGGTGAGCACTTTTGCTCTACTATACACGCCTGCCATGATGTCCAAAGCAACAGGGCCAACTGGTCATGGACTAAGACCTCCAAACCTGTGAGATAAAAGAAACCTTTTCATTTCAGAAGTTGCTATTTTACGTATTGGTATAGTGACAGCTGATTAAAACCACGGGAATCCGTTAACCAAGGGCTCAGGGAAGTTTGGCTGCTCACAACCTGGCAGAGAAGAGAAGAGGGAAATGGCTTTATGCATGGAAGGCTGCTTGCGTGGGTGTCTTCACTTTACAGCAATCTACTCTTATGGAAATTAATTCGCTCCAGGAGACCAGCATGGACCCCTTCTTAGGGCAGCCCCCTGTAGGACCTAAGCAATTCCTACTATGCCTCACCTGTTAACATTGCCACACTGGGGAGCAAACCTCTAGCACAGTACCCCCTGGGGGACAGACGACATCCAAACACAGCAGGCACCATTTTCATTCCTAGGAATGTTTCCTTGAGTTGACTCCTACAACTTTGTATCCAGGTCTCCACACTCTGCCCGTTGTCTTTGTACAGATGCATCTCCCTTACCCGAGCCCCTTAGTCCTGGCGTATACTTCCTGCGTCTTGGCGCGTCCTTCCTGACCCCTGGTGTATACTTCCTGCTTCCTCTTGTCAATGTACCTGACGCGCCACTGGAAGGTTTGTTCACATGTGAACATCTCCTGTCATTGTACCTGAATGTTCCTGTAGACAGTGTTTAGAGAGGGAAGTTACCCGTTTGAAAGTTTCTCACTCTTGCCCCTTGGACTCTTTTCTAGTGATGCAGGGTTGCTTGCCTGTGTGTCCAATCTGTCTCTGACATTTGGTGGACAAATCTCACCACCCCGCAACCGACAAGCCATGCCGATATCTTGGTGTTAGATTTGTTCTCTTCACCCTCTTCATTTACTAGATGGTCCTCTAGCTTTTCTAAAATCCTTCCTGACCACACTCTCTTGTCTGTGCAAAAGCTGGGGCCATTTGGTGGGGGGAGACAGTGTTAACCATGTATTGCAGAGGATCATCAGTACCGAGGAGGATGTGATGGTAAAGATAGATCTGCAGACTTTCTTCTCAGCTCTACCTGTAGGTGAGCTAGGATGCATCAAATGAAGACCCTGGGGCCATGTGACTGTGATATTTGGGGTTAGCCAGAAGTGCAGCCCAGGTACACATAGTTCTTCCCAGCTTATCAAGAGATACTTTCTGTATCGAAGAAAATCTAGTGTTTCTGCATGGGTGAACCAAAGGAAAGAGCGTGTCACAGAGCCAACACGTTACTTTGGGGCAGACTTTAAAGAGCTGCGTTAACCACAATCGTCACTAAACTTAAGGACTTTGATGTTTTATTACTGTTTTCCCCTTTCGGTCCTCCCAGTCATAGGGGGCCAAACAGAAGAGCCGTAAGGCAGTTAACGCAGACACCTCCCGAGGTAGGTGGGATAAGCTTTTATTTGTGACCTGCTTGGATGAGCTCTTTGCTGAGATGGTGTCAACTGCTCCTATGAGATGGGGATTATCTTTCATATGTTGAAATAAGACAACTGAGAGGTGCTGTGACCTGTCTGAGGTCCCAAGGGTTAAAAGAACATAGATGAAATCTAGGTATCAATATTTTTGTCCTTATATCTAGATTCTCTCTCTCTGTCTCTCTCTCTGTCTCTCTCTCTCTCCTCTGTCTCTCCTTTAAACACTATCTAGATCACCCAGCATCTAGAATTTTGGGGAGAGAAGTAGTTCTGTGTTTATCTGATGCCTTTAGGAACTATTTAATGTTACCTTATTAGCACATGTGTGTGACATATAATGTTCACATCCTTGTGGGAACTTGATAAAAAGTACATAACATATCTTAATTCCTTTTCAGCCCTTTCCTTTCTCTCCCTCTCCCCTCTCCCTATCCGTTCATCCCCTCACTTTTTGGGTACATATTTGTAGTACATAATGTTTACATTCCTTGGGTTGTGTTGGTACACGTACTGAACACATCCTAATTCCTTTTTCCACCCCTTATTCTTTCCCTCCCTTCCTTCTCCCTCCAGGTCTTGACCTCTTTTCCATCTGACAATGATCCATCTCCCTACTTCCTATGATCTCTCTTTTACTTGGCTCTTTAGTTTTACTCTGAGTTTGTCATATAGGGGAAGAAATGTGATATTGAAGCTTGTATATCTGATTTATTTCATACAACATTGTGATCTCAAGATGAATCCATTTTCCTACATAGGACTCACATTATCTCTCTCAAGGCAGAGCAGTGCTCCATGGCTCCATGGTAGGTAAACACCACATTTCTTCATCCATTCATCTGCCGATGGACATACAGGTCACTTCCAGTATTTTGCAATTATAAATGTTGCTCCTACAAACATGGTTATGGATTCATTTCTGTAATATTGCATGATATCTTTAACTCTTTTGGGAGGAGTCCTAGCAGAGGAATAGCTGGGTCAAATGGAATTTCTAGCTTTAGTTTGTTGAGGCATCTCCATCCCGATTTTCACAGTGATTATTGTACATTGAGTTGTCCTAAAATTAATCTCGAATGACCAAAAGAATCTGCCCAAAACTCCTTGAGGAGCACCTGGCAT